TTCCTGGAAAAAGGAAAAAAGGAAAGGGGCGTGCCTTTTTTTGGGGGGGGGGGGGGGTTAGGGACAATATACTTAGTTGGAAGCCTCATATTGAATATATTAGAAATTAAGTTGCAAAAACTATTGGAATATTGTTTAAAATAAAATATTTAATAAATGTTAAAGTCTAGCATATTATGTATTCCTCTTTGGTTATGCCTGATTTGTCCTACTGCTCAGAAATGTGTGGAAACGCAAGTAAAACAACTATTAATTTATAAGTTAATTTGCAAAGAAAAAGCTGTAAAGCTTATTAATCAAGTGGGATATCGTGAACCAACTGATAAACTCTGTATTCAAAGTAACACCTTAAAATTTAAAGGTATTGCATACATAAACATATCGGAAATAATGTGTAAAGCAGTGAACAAAAGTCTTCCTTCTGGTATACAGAAATTATTCAAGCTGAGAGGGAATAAATATAATTTGCGAGGTTTGTTTATAGTTGAATGGGCAAAAGAGACGAGCCAGGAAAAGTCTAGATGTGCTCCGGTCTGTCAGATCTGCGAGGCGACGCCGCCACTCGGCGGCGTCTTCAGGGCGGCCATCTTGTTCCAGATCTTCTCAGCTGTGATGACGAGCTTGTTGATGTTTGGAGGATTTTTAATGAGCAGATAGGAGCCGCCAGAAGCAGCTCCCACAGCTCCACACAGCAGGCCATGGTTTATCAAGTGGAGGGAAACAAAAATGTTCATAAAATAAATAAAATTTAATAATAATAATAATAATAATAATAATAATAATAATAATAATAATAATGAACACCTGATTGGATTCGAACATTACAACATTTAATTTCCCTTTGGGATTAATAAGTTTTGAAGTGAAGTTCACTGTGCACTGTAAAACCATTGTAGTTGTACGTATTTACAAGAGAGTTTTATCCTTGCTTTTTATACATTGATATTTAAAATGTCGTGCAAAGTGGAATTGAGGTCAAATTCCTTGTTTGTTTGCAAAAACTTCAATAAAGCCGATTCTGATTCCATTTTTGTATCCAAAATACTTCTCGGATTTGAATCTTTGAATCTGGGTAACCAACTGTCATTGGTTACCCAGGAAAACAAAAGCGCTGGTCAGACTGATCAAATCAAAATAAACAACAAACATGCAAGGCAAAGACGTTTTTGACATCTGTCAGTGTTGAACGGTGAGTTTGTTTTCTGTAGTTTAGAGTAGGAAATATCTGGGGGCAGCTTTGTGTTTTATGTTATCATGCTTTAAAAATATGAATAATCATGTAGCTGTACAATTAAAGTTGTTTAAAGATGATTAATCACATTGAAGAAAGTACAGGGCGTGTATTCGATTTCACTTTAGCGTCTATGTTTTTGAATTTAGTTTTTTCCTTTTTTCAGTCAAACTGGTTGTGAAACAACATATGTTGACTTTTCAAAAGAAAACTTGTTTATTTATACATTTTCTGGCAACATATTGTAATCCTCTCTGATTTTGTTGCTTTGTTGTGCTTCAACCAGAGCTAGATCACAAATGGAGGACATTAAGGCAAAAGACAAGAGCCACATGAGCGGCTCGGTGTCGTCTTTACCAGAGGTGAGTCCTTTTGATTCTTTTTGACTTGAGTTCACACTGATGATGTAAACTGGTGGTTTAAGTTGGTTTAGAGAAAATACTCACTTCTACAGACATCAACACAGTGTTAGTGGCGAGCCAGTGCCGTTTTCTCTGTAGTTTCAAAATGTACAATAGGGGTCGAACGACTTCATATTTTTTAAGGTAAAAGTCGAGTCGTCGTCGACTAGTCGCGGTGACGTAAGCGCAAAAGCCCTTCACAACAACCAGGGCCGTGCAACAAATAATACTGCGCTCACAACAAACGCGTTTTGAGCGTCAGGCGCGTCTGGTTTACATTCAAAGTCTATGTGGAGGCGCGTCGAGGGCCGTTGCGGCGCGTTTTGAGCGTCCAGCGCGGCGTGATTCGAACCAACGCGTCCGAGACTTTGAATGTAAACCAGACACGCCTGAGGCTCAAAACGCGTTTTGTGTGAACACGCCATTAGAGCCTTTATCAGCTATATTCACGGCAAATATTGATTGACAAACCACCGCTTTTACTAAGTCTAATATGCAGAATTAAAAGAACAAGAAACAGATCATTATCACGGACTTATTCGTGAGCAGCGGAGAAAAGTCCGAAAAGTCACACAAAGTAGGCTTGACTACTTTGAACGCTCCGCTCCGGGATGAACCGACACAGAGGCGCAACTACATGCTTTCTGAGGTGTATGCGAACATGTAATCGCAACCCCCCTCCTCCATCCCCCAGGTTTAATATGTCCATATGGCTATCCCTTATTTATGCACTCATAAAATACAGTAATTAAATTAAAACCATCATGGTATTTAGGTTTTTGTTGCCTCCCTAATGTTATCATTCCTTCCTGATGTGTTAATAAATTGCAGCCTAGAAAGCAATTAAAAAAGAATGAAACAAAAAGTAGGTCAATATTTTATCGTTTAATATATAAGTGAGCCAAAGAGCCACTTCCACCAGCCTCTAGAACCGCCTATGGGCTGCAGGTCTGAGGCATTTTGTTAGCATGTTTTCCTTCATTCTTATAGGAAGTCAGGTTGTCCAAACTGGCAGCCCACATTAATAAAATAATCATGAAATAAAATTGACCACAAAACACTGTTTTTATAAAAGATATCAACATTTTTCCTACACAGAATGCCCAGCAAACTAATAAAGAAAAAATAAACGGTTTCTCTTCACAATATTTATTTATTTACCAATCATCTATTACTATGATTTGTTCTTTAAATTACTATTTATATTTTTCGGTCTAAGGAGATGATTGAGGGATGAAGAGACTCTGATGTCTGGTTCTTTAGGTTCTGGCGGGTCTGCAGTGTTCCTCTCCTGACCCATTCTGTCTCATATCATACATACGACACATTTTATTTTTAAATCACCCCTATTTAACTTCACTGCAGGCATGTGCAGAGGGGCAGGAGGGGGGCAAAGTGGGCTTGAGCACCTGCCCCTTTTATCCGTGATGCCCCTAGTGCCCTTTTTGAGTGTTTTATTTTTTATTTTTATTATTTTTTACATTTTTTATTATTTTTATTAAAGAATGTCTGTCTTTATATCAGACATCCTGATATAAAGCGACTGTCATCTTGAGTCTTGACGCACCTCAAAGCCCCGGTACCACCTGGTACCACCTGCTCTCTGTTCGCTCTGCTTCTCCTTAACGTTTCTACCAGGTGGGTTAAAGCCGGTGATTGCGACTAGTCGACTGGCCTCGTAAAAAGTTATTAAAAAATTAGCTCTTTAAATTCATCTCTACATACTGATCTATTGTTTTAAGCTATTTAATCGCTATTTGGTATATTGTTACATTTTGATCTCTTGCTTCGGGCTGAATGAAATGTCCAGCTTACTATGCCTTTAGTAGTTTGTAAATATTTTTTCCTACTGATTATATCCTGTCACAAAGGCAGCGAGGCAGTCATTCTTTCCTCACAATCTGAGCTTTGCGTTTGTCATCTGATGTGTCATTAATTGGAATGGCGTGCGCATTTATTGTGCAGCGCACTGTGCTTGTTACTGTCTAACAGAGATCTGCACTTTGATTTCTTTCCTTCCTCAACAGAGTCAGCTGGCTACTCCTCTATTTAAACTACAATAAGTAGATCAAACAATTTGGCTCTTTTGGCGTTCTCTGTGTAGTGCAGGCTTATTAAATGGGCCACAGAAGCATGAGCCACCATCAGGCAAATAATTCTGGTCCGAGCCGGAGCAGATTTCGGGTTGGACTACAGGTCTAAATTCTAGTGAAAAATGCATCTTTTAGCCAGTAACTTATAGAGCATTTGAAGACTAAACAATGTGTGTTGCTTCAATTGTGATTTGTTAGAACAGTCAGAGAAGAAGAGCCACCATGTCCTAAATAAAATAAATTAGTCTTCAAAAGTTCCTGTGTGAAATATAAGTTCCAACTTGTTTAGTTGGTATCAGTATCAGCAAGTACCTAGACTTAATATATACATCTTAACAGAAGAAGGACTTGAACTTGATTGTCTTAAGTTATATAGTGAATTGTTTGCAGAATAGGCTTAAATATTCAACAAAATTATTAAAAAAACAGACTGTTGTATTCAATTTATTCTATACATACACACGTCTGTCTGTCTGTCTCATTGGATCTTGTCAAATATGTTTAAAGTTATTAAATCTGGACTAAATTACCCGCAACCAATACAAGACTGGGTGTGTTCTTGTAGCTATCAATGTAAAAACAAACATATTGAAAGAGCTTTGCTTCCTCCCTCCCCCTACAAGATGTTATGGCAAATCTTTCAATCTGTCTTGTACAATTATGATGTAATATGTTACTAGATTTCCTTCACTGTCTGTCCTGATTTGGTCCCACAGAACTATAGCAGCATCAACAGGAACGAAACTCATGATGACTGCATGAGCAAAGACCATCAACACATCCACACTAGAGAGAGGCCATACAGCTGTGACCACTGTGAGAAGAGATTCATCAGAAAAAGCCATCTGATGTCCCATCAACACATCCACACTGGAGAGAGGCCATACAGCTGTGACCACTGTGAGAAGAAATTTAGTCAGAAATACAATCTGACAATCCATCAACGCATCCACACTGGAGAGAGGCCATACAGCTGTGACCACTGTGAGAAGAGATTCATCAGAAAAAGTGAACTGATGTCCCATCAACACATCCACACTGGAGAGAGGCCATACAGCTGTGACCACTGTGAGAAGAAATTTAGTCATAAACACAATCTGACAGTCCATCAACGCATCCACACTGGAGAGAGGCCATACAGCTGTGACCACTGTGAGAAGAGATTCATCAGAAAAAGTGAACTGATGTCCCATCAACACATCCACACTGGAGAGAGGCCATACAGCTGTGACCACTGTGAGAAGAAATTTATTTGTAGACACAATCTGACAATCCATCAACGCATCCACACTGGAGAGAGGCCATACAGCTGTGACCACTGTGAGAAGAGATTCATCAGAAAAAGTGAACTGATGTCCCATCAACACATCCACACTGGAGAGAGGCCATACAGCTGTGACCACTGTGAGAAGAGATTCATCAGAAAAAGTGAACTGATGTCCCATCAACACATCCACACTGGAGAGAGGCCATACAGCTGTGACCACTGTGAGAAGAAATTTAGTCATAAACACAATCTGACAGTCCATCAAC